TTTTGACTTGATGTTTTTTATGATCTTTCATATTGCTTAATATCATACTTTAAAAATATATTATGAAATTTTCAGACGGGTTATTGTGGAGCCAGTTCGCTTAACTTGAAGAATTATTTAAGAACCCTTTCTCAATTAGCATATGCTTAATGTAAGGAAAAAGGTCACATATATACGGCACTTTGATAAGACATATACCTTGCTCCTTGCATATATCCTGCTTCTTCTGATCGTGCATTCTCTGTTCATTCAAATCTATCTGGCCTCTCCTATGAAACATTGAATTTAGATTATAGTGTTGCCGACCATGGAATTCGAATGCTAGTTGTAGTTCTTCGTTATACCTATCGAGTTGCATTCCATTCAAAAATGATGGTCTACAGAATAGAAATTTCTTGCCTAACAGATCTTCAAAAATATATCATACAGTTCTTTCGTTAGTATGATGACAAAGAGGGCACCACTCAAATTTTTTCATGATATACTTTAATGGATACTCCCATTAATGTGCACCATCCTCACAAGACCAAAGATATACATTATGTCCATTAATTTCTCCAGTCTTTCCTAGACACTGACCACCACGTCTTTGAGCATAACCAATGGCTTGGTTTAACTCACTATTGATAGAAGCATGAATGAATTTACGGATAATATACTTTGAGGTGGATATCCAACTTTTTTTGGATCAACTATTAACATGAGCTCTTCTCGTACAAATCCACGAGATGGTGCATATTCCCCATCGATATAATATAAAACTGGTTCATTCTTTATGACAACAACTTTTCGGATTTTATGAATAGAAGGCGACCATATAGGGTCAGTTACCCTTTTCTGATTTTTCATACCACCTTCCCATTTCGCATTAGCAAGAAGGTAGCGGACAGTATCTCCTTTCTTTAATGCTATTTCATCTTTTCCAACTGGACGCTTATATTTTGTAGATGGTCTAGATTCGACTCGTTCTAATGCAATAGTTTTCACAGACTTGAGTCCCCACTTTTCTGATCCTGGTTCTCGAATAAGGTGTGTGAGATAGTTATTCAGATAATCAATAGCTTCTGGTAAATACCTAACCCATGCTCTTATTAATCCAAGATCGGAAAATATAGACTCAACAGCATACTGGATCTTATATAGAATTTTTGAGAGTGTCTGATTGAAACGCTCCATAAAAACAAGTTTCCTATGACTATATGGGCCAATTACTCGAATAATAACATTATGCTCTTACATCAATCAAGAAGTTTCACCCATCCATTCCCGCCCATTATTTGTTTGAAGTAATTTAGGATATATAAGAGGATTATTTTGATTGCCATATATTCTCCTGAATGCTTTAGCAACTTCAGAACTTTTCTTCAATCTAAGAGGAACTGAGGCCTAATATCTGGAGGCGCAGTCTATAATGTTAAATACTGCTTTATATTTTTTACCTCTATAGTAATCATGAGTGAGAAATAGTATATCGCACTGGTGTACACAATTGGGACGTGTTATTCGCCTATAGCTAACTCTAGGGATATATTTTGGAGAGGTTTTATTTGTTTGGTATGACTCTTGATCTTCTAAAAAATCTTTGCATTCACTTAGGCGGAATTGGTGCCCCTCTTTTTTACATGCATTTCTTAGGGATTTAGGGTTAGAAAAATATCCAGTAGGCTGATAATATATCTCTCGTAAAATAA